GTTTGGTAAACACGTCTGCAACTTGATCTTCTGAGGGAATGTAGCTTAGTTCAACCAGACCTCCTTCAACCTTTTCTTTAATGAAATGCCGATCAATCTCAATATGCTTGGTCCGATCATGTTGAACGGGATTACGAGCTATGCTAATTGTTGATTTGTTATCACACCTCAACTCCATTGGTCCCTTCCATCTTATTTGTAAATTAGAGAGAATAATTTTGAGCCATAGAATCTCACACAAGCCATGGGCAAGTGCTCTTAGCTTAGATTCAGCACATGATCGTGCCACAACATTCTGCTTTTTGCTTCTCCATGTCACAAGATTTCATGCCAGGAAAACACAGAAACCAGTAGTTGATCGGCGGTTAACGAGAGAGCCCCCATAATCTGCATCAGTGAAGGCTTGGACTGATAACTGTCTCCCCTTCCTGAACATTATTCCTTGTCCTGGACTTCCTTTCAAGTAGTGTAGAACCCTATAGGCTGCTTCTAGATGTGATTTCCTGGGGTCATTCATGAACTGAATTAGGACACTAACTGCATAAGCAATGTCAGGTCTGGTATGAGAGAGAGATATAAGTTTTCCACATAGACGTTGATGCATTGTTGAATCAACCTTGGGCTCATCAGTAGCAAGACCAAGCTTATGATTGGGATCAATAGGTGTAGTAACCGGTCGACAAGCACTCTTACCAGTTTCACTCAACAAATTTGTAATGTACTTCTGCTGACTGATAAAGATACCTTCAGATGAGCGGGCAACTTCAATTCCAAGAAAGTGTTTTAGAGAGCCAAGGGACTTCATCTAAAATTTGGACTTCAGCTTCTTCTCAAGATGTTGTTTCTCAACTGGATCATTACTGGTCAGAATTATATCATCCACATATACTAAAAGAATAGTGACTCCACCAGTGCAAGAGTGCTTGTAAAAAAGAGCATGGTCATTCTGACTTTGACTATAACCAGCAGCCCTAACAACTTGGGTGAAATGGTCAAACCAAGCACGAGGGGATTGCTTGAGACCATAGAGGGCTTTTTTAGTCGACATACATGTGTAGAGGTGCCTATTGAAGTTTTAATGAAGCCTGGGGGAATGTGCATGTAAATCTCGTCATGCAAGTCACCATGGAGGAAAGCATTCTTGACATCAAATTGCAATTAAAGGCCAATCAAAGTGAGATGCCAAGGATAATAGGATATGAACAGTATTGAGCTTGGCTACAGGAGCAAAGGTCTCTTGATAGTCAATCCCATATGTCTGAGTGTATCCTTTAGCCAAAAAACGAACTTTGTATCGCTCAAGAGATCCATCAGCATTGTATTTAACAGTAAAGATCCACCTGCAATCAACAACATGTCTTCCAGGAGGTTTAGTCACAATATCTCAAGTATGGTTCTTTTCAAGAGCTCTAATTTCCTCTTGCATAGCATCCCTCCATTCTTTCTTTCTTAATGCTTCAGAAACAGAGTTAGGAATGGGAATTTCATTGAGTTTTTGAACAAACAAGGCATAAGTAGGAGAAAAGTTATCAAAGGTAACAAAATTAGCAAAAGGATATAGAGGTGTTTTAGTACATTGGCGTACACCTTTGCGTAAAGCAATTGGAGGAGAGGGTGGTGTGGAAGAGTCATTATCTGGGTCAGCCGATTGGTCCTGCGTCAGCAATTGAGTGAACCTGTGTTTCCTTGAATACACTTTTGTCACTGGTGGAGGAGAAAGTGAGTCATGAGTGGAGGATTTAGCAGGTGTAGGAATGGGGTGGTCTTGTGGTGAAGTTGATTCAAGTTCAGGAGATGTTGAGGACTGTTGTGAACTAGGTGACGTGGGTGAGATATCTAAAGATGGTGACGTGTGATTAGGTGGTGATGGTGATGGGATGTTTGATGATAATGGGTTAGAAGGGTGGGAGATTGTATGTGCTGGAGAAAGTGTAATAGTATAGGTGGGAAGAGATGGAGGAGACGGGGTATCCTGAGATACAGGGAGAAAACTAGGACTGACAAAAGGGGAGTCTTCGTGAAAGGACAGATCTGCACTGGTGTAACTTCTTCTAGTGGCAAGATTATAACACTTGTATCCTTTTTGGGTTGGAGAGTAACCCAAAAACATACACTTGATAGATCGTGGAACCAATTTCCCCTTATGAGGTGGAGGAATATGAACAAATGCAGTACACCCGAACACCTGTAAATCAATATCAGAAGAGATTCTAGTTTGAGGAAAGAAGTGACGAAGAGAATCAAGAGGTGACTTATTTTGGAGTACACGAGTGGGTAGTTTATTGATGAGATGACATGCTGTGAGTGTGGCTTCCCCCAGTAATGTTTAGGCATATTTGATTGGAACAATAAAGCCCGACTTACTTCAAGGAGATGACGGTTTTTTCTTTCTGCAGTGCCATTTTGTTGAGCTGTGTATGGACAAGAGGACTCATGAACAATACCTTTTGAGAGGAAACAAGAGGAGACCGTTTGATTGAAGTACTCAAGGGCATTATTAGTACCGAAGCGTTTTATAGTGGTAGAGAACTGATAATGAATCATATTGCAGAATATAGGAACAATAGTGCTCACCTCACTCTTGTTTTTTAGGAGAAAAACCTACATAAAACGTGTACAGTCATCTATAAATGTAACGTACCACCGGGCTCCAGATATATTAGCAACTGGAGCAGGGCCCCAAACATCACTATGTATAATATCAAAAGGAGAATGACTTGTTGTATTACTTCAGGAAAAAGATACAAGAGATTGCTTAGCAAGTTCACATACATCACATTGTAAGGTAGAAACATCAATACTAGTGAAAAGGGTAGGGAATATGGTTTTTAGGACATGGAAAGATGGATGACCAAGTCGTATATGATGAAGCCAAACAGTTTTGGTATTGGAAGTGACTGAGGTAAGAGCCTTTTGTGGAGGTTTGGAGACAAATAGTGCATCAAGATAATACAGGCCATCTCTTTTCTTAGCAATTCCAATCGTCCTCCCCGTGCGCAGATCCTGTAAAAAGCAACAAGAAGGGAAGAAAATAGCAGCACAGTTAAGATCAACAGTGAGTTTAGAAATAGAAGCAAGGTTCATAGCCAAGTTTGGGACATGTAATGTGTTTTTTAGATTAAATTTATCAGAAAAACAATTGTGCCATGCCTTGCAACCTCTATAGATGTGCCATCAGCATTAGTAATGTGTGTGGACTTAAAACATGGTTGGTAATTGGACAGTAAGGAGGATGAAGCAGTCATATGAGAGGTGGCACCTGAGTCTAATATCCATTTAGATTATGGATTCTGTTCTGAAGCATTCAGACAAAAAATTGTAGAGGTTTTACTTTGCAAGGCTAAAGAGCTATGACCAGAACCATTTGAGGTATTAAGAGACTGCAGCACCAAACGAAGTTGTTGTATTTCCTCCTGGGAAATAGGTGAAAGGCTAGTAGAGTTCTCAAGAGTAGTAGGAGTGGCTGAGTTAGCAAATCCTGCGCTAATTCCCCGTCTATCCTGACTTTTCCTTTCTTTCTGGAGATGAGGATAAAGCTTCCAACACGTGTCCACATTATGATTGGACCGCTTGCAATGCTCACACCATTTTCCTCCCTTACTACTTTTAGTTCTCTTATCACCCGAAGAGGCCGAAGAAGTAGACTTGACAGCCAAAGTCGTATTGTCAACTAGCTTAGTGTTCATCATTATATTGTGCCTACTCTCTTCATGTTTGATAGTGGCAATGGTAGAAGATAGGGCTGGTAGAGGAGTAATGCCCAGAAGTTGAGACCGGGTCTGATCGTATTCTGGATTTAAACCAGACAAGAAGCAATACAGACGTTGCTGGTTTACGTAGTTCTTATGAAGGGCTGCGTTTGCGGCATTAGACCACTTCATTGTTTGGTATTGATCAAGTTCAGACCATCGTCGTTGGAGGTCAGTAGCATATTCTGCGACAGATTGCGAATCTTGCTTAAGATTCGTTGTTTGAAGCCATAAGTCATAGACAAATGCACCATCTTTAGCAACAGAGTAGGACTGCTTTATGAAATCCCAGATTTGTTTAGCCGAGTCCATGTATAAACATGTACTGCTAATGTTGGGATCCATAGAGTCCCATAACAAGACTCGTATGTTGGCATTGGTTTTCTCCCAAATAGCAGCATCAATATCTCCTTCTTCTGGTGAAGAGGCAATGAGATATATTTCAAGATCTTTGCCACGAAGGAGTGTAAACCAGCTTTGACCATCCGAGATAGTTTCTCCCACTAAAACGGTAAGAAGGCGGGATAGAAGGGAGGTCAAATTTCTAGTTTCAAAGGGCAACCGCAACTGCAATAGCAGCTGAAACAATGGTTGAGTGGTCAAAGTGAGTTGAGGCTGATTCAGCTTCTTTAGACATGATAAAACCCTTGATGAAGAAACTCCACCGGGAGTTAAAGAGAGAGAAGGGTAGAGACACCCAAAAATGACTGTTGGAGAGGCGATAGACTCAAAAAAGGCTTAGACAAAACCTGACTATGATACCATGAAGTTTTCTGAATTTTATTATTGATAGAACTCACTTTTACATGAAGTACAACTGCATATTTATAGAAAATTAGTCCTAAGAAGTGTATGTTCAGTACCCTAAGTGACTGTCCAGATACTGAAAAATAAATGAATATAAACTGATTAGACAAGTAATAATTACAACCTGAACATGCACTAAAGACTCACTAAAGATTTATTATTACATAAAAAATACTCTTCTTTTTCTCAACAGATGCATCAACAATTATATCTATGTATATATATGTACGTGCCTAGTCAAGTTTGAATAGTCAACTCATTATAAATGTTTCTCTTGATATTTATTATTATATTGAAATTTTGTTTATTGACATATTTTTGTTATTGTAAAAGACATTTTTATTATTTTAGGTCATACTCATAATTTTGTTTGATTAATTTTGACAATATTAATGTTAATTTTAGTTTATTTTATTTAAATTTTTGGAATGTCACACCCCACCCTCGAACCAAACTCAGATTTAATCACCTCCAAAAAAGCAATATAATTCGTTGATCCATTACTGGGCGCAACTAAGCCAAAGACAGTTAAAGTAGATCTCTCGTCACTCAATCCTAATGCAAAAGTCTTATTACAATCAAAGTAACCAACGGAAAAATAAACAGTTTGATTATGAAAAATAAATCGCAAGCAAACGGTAAAATTAAAAAGCTGCTTCCAAACCCTAGACTCTTCTGCTTTCTATGGCAGCGATTCAGGAGGGGGACGATCGAGCATTACCGTAGCTTCTTCGTCACCTTGCCTCTTGTTCATCATGCTCTCTACCAAGCCTCTTTTGTCGCCACCTACCACAATACCACATATGACCTTGAATCCAGATCTGTTCCAACCTCTGGCCCTGCGCTTCGTCTATGACCTATGGCCGCTGAACACCAAGCATCTGTCTTCCGTCTCTGCACAACCTTCAACCGCCGGAGATCAAGCTCTTCCCTCCGCTTAATCTCGACAAAGCAAAAGAAGAAAAATAGTCGTGGAATTGATGGTGAAAGAATAAACCTTGTGCGCCTAAGTCCGCTTGCAGTGGCCACTTCTCGTTACAAACGATAGCGGAGGAAAAAATCCTAGCGGTGGAAACCCACCCCATAGAGAGATTGTAACTATAAAGAGAGCGAGAATAAAAATACTTGAAACACAAAATTATTCAAATACTTTAAACTCGTTCTCTTTAAACTGCTTCACAATTAAAATTGTAATTGTGAATATGCTTTTAAAAAAAAAATTGAATCAATTCCAAACATCTCCTTAATGGTTATACCAAAATTACAAGCTAGTTCCTAAACAAAACCGTTATAGTTGCTCTAGGCAAACATAACATAAACATAATTTCAAACCAAAATTATCTTGGTTAATAATACAAGAGAGACTAAAAAAGAAACAATTCCATCATAGTTTCTTACTTTCTTATGCTGCTCACAATCTATGTAGATGTACTTTTGGCAAATTCAATATCTTCACTTAGAAGATGTCAGCTGTCTGATATTGTACTTGGCCAATTCTTTGTATTTTTCAACAACCCCAAGCAAGCAAACTGTCTGCAAGATAAATCATCCAGAACGTTATTTAATTTACAGTTGGGTAGTCGACTTTGACTAATGCTTACTTCAAAACAACTCCATTGTTAGAATTTGAAAACAGGATTGAGTCAGCTTAAACATTCCTAATTTGATAGGCATATACAGCAAATAAAAACTGTTTTTAATGCTTAAATAGTTTTTTTCCCACTGGTTCATACTACCTTAGCCGGGGTCTCCCATGGTTAGAGCTTCTCTACTCCTACGAGATTCCCGACCCTATTTCTTGGTAGCACATACTGTGTTAGGTTTGGATTTTGTTGGTGATTTTAGTATCACCAGGTTCATTTTAGTGTAATGGAATTTACAGATTACCAATGGAGTTCAAGTTTAATTTTAGACAAGTTAGGAGGTGCGGAGCGCACACTTGTACGAAATTAAATTTAAACTTGGTTCGATTAAATGGCGGGGGTCAAGGGGGCTGCGCCCCTTTGCGGGGTCCAAGGGGCAGCGCCCCTGGCGGGGGTCTCGCTGGAGGCCGCCCTCGCGGGGCTCGGGGCAGCGCCCCGGACCAAAATTTTATTTTATTAAAGAAATAAATATGGAAATTTATTTTCGGATAAACATGTCCATATTAATTATTTAATAGAATGACTTTCTGTTAGAGTAAAACTCTAACTGATTGGCCTTATCTCTTTGGTAATCAGAAGAATTCGAGTTCTACTAAAACTGCTAGTTCGTGGTCTATATATTGGTGCCTCAGTTTTAGACTGTCTCTCAGAGTGATTATCCCCATAATCTAAATTTCGTGTAACCCAGGCATAGGGTCGAAATATTAGATTCGGAAAGTGATCACACGATACTCTGAGAAATCCGCCAGATTTTCTAAAACAGTTTCCCAACTCCCCAGTATTAACAGATTTTGTATTGGTTGGAGAAAAAACACGCAAGTGAAGAGAATAATCACCTTCACAATTTGAACGACTATATGCAAATCTGGATTGCTAAGATCAACTTTGTGAGGTAGAGGGACAGATTTCGCAACTGTGTCAATAATTTTCGATCTGCTTATTCCGGAATTCGCACGGGCATCGTAAAGCACTGCAAACTGTATGAATAACACTTCATTTGAGTCATAGATTAGAATACACACTGCACAGGTCCATTCAGAATATTGCAAATTTAAATGCGACACTATACAATAATCAAATACAAGTACCATAGTTTCCATTATTTTTATATCTCAAGGCCAAAAACGACATGTGATTCATTTGCTGACTGCTGAGAAATCCAAGGTGAAACTTTAAGGCCCATTCGGTACCCATTGCTTTTTCTATTTAGCAACATTATAGGAACTTGATTGGTAAGGCTTAAACTAGCTCAAGAGACTGAGGTTGTTTTATTTGTTCTTCACCTCATTTTATTTGCTTCATAATTATTCTTATTTTACTCCAATCAAACCAAACACATTATGATCAGATATCAAAGAATCAATCACACTAGATCAGGCCAGATATTATATTTCAGAAGCATTCATGCTGGACTACACAATGAACCTTAGGGCCGGATCATATAGAAGCATTCAGATGACCCATTCACTCATTCAGATTACCGCACCAGATATAAAACAGTTCATAGGTCACAATTTTTAGGCGAAGTGCAAAATCCTGAATCTAAAGTTGCTGTCTGCTGAAATTACTGAAAAGGTGGCTATAATGATTAAATACCTAAATGGGCTAAAAACCTGTGTTTAATAAACCGGACCGGGCGGGTCAGCTCGGAAACCGGCGAACCGGCCCAGCCCTTTATCTGGTCCAGTTGTGTGAAATGAAACAATGAGTTAAAATATTTGAGAACCACACCTTAAGCGGATTTTGAGTTTCAGAGGGGAAGTATTTCTCAATGAGAGGTTTAATTGCTCTCTTTAATTCCTCATCAGATGTGTAGCATGTTGCTTCAATTGGTAGCAGTCTTAACATGAACCTGTGTTCAAAACCATATCATTCTCCTTCAAGTAAGTTATATTGCTCAAACTACTGCAGAATCGTTTCATCAACTGTAATGGAATGCAATGTAACCAAATACTACATCCATCCCAAAGAAAGAAGTTATGTTTGATTGATTGAGGTACAACTTTTAAATTTTGACACGGTAAACCTGTCTGAGTTTTTATTGTTTAACTGAAGTTATATGTCTACAATTGTTTAACTGAAGTTGGTGTGGTACATTGTTTGACTTTCTTTTTGGAAAACATCTCATAAAGTTCACATGATTTTTTGATACTCCGTATTATTTTTTGGAGGGAGAAAACTACTACTACGTATTTAGAACATGACTCTCTTTGGGACATAGATGAGTATATTTTGAGTGTTAATTTACATTGCACAGGCACTATATTACATTACATCACAGATTACCGGAATGTTCCCTTACTTTTTCTATAATACCGTGATTAGACTAACCTTGAAACATGCTTCTTGGTAGCGGCAAGAGAGGATACCATATGGTAGACAATATCCTTTGGGGTAGGCTCACCATCTCCAAAGCGCATTTGGATAAAGATAACACCATTGCAACCCGAATCTAGGTAAATAAAACGTCTCTGTTTGCAGGTAAATAAAATGCTACGTAAAACTGAGAAAATTAAAAGATTCAAAAACCCACAGAACCTAGCATATTATTGTCCTGCTAAAGTGTTACACAATCTTTAAGTATAGTTAATTTGAAACTTGAATACAAGGAAAGTCCACATACTTCTTAGCAGTAAGTTAACTAAAGCACATATACATCGTGGCATAAATGATAAATTGAATGGATTCCAACACAGCATAGAGCCTAGGGCCCTTAACCACTCTACTTTTATGCTATGATTGGAATAATTTATTTGATGGTAGGGATACGGAAAAAATGCTAAGGTGCATAGTTTTTTATGCTTTATTCTACCTTTTGATTAAAAAATCAAATTTTGCTAAAACTTTCTAAAGTTTTACATATATTTCTTAGTCTTCATATAAAATAGATATATTAAAAAATCTGTTTGAACAAAGACACACTCCATTCCAATAAGTTTGGGATAGGGGAAAGCGCCAAGCAAATTAATGAAATGTGGAAGTGTATGGTTGGTATTGAGATTCTAAACAACATCCAAGCCTTAGTCCCAAAAGAGTTGGTATTTTGATTCTAAAGTATGGATAATTTTTAGCTGCATAAAGATGACCACATATGGTATGGGACAAATATTTTGGAATGGTCTAAAATAAAAATAAAAAAGATAATCAAAATAAGATAAAAAAGATAATCAAAATAAGATAAAGGGAGTTAATATAAAATAGATATATAAAAAAATCTGTTTGAACAAAGACACGCTCCATTCCAATAAGTTTGGGATAGGGGAAAGCGCCAAGCAAATTAATGAAATGTGGAAGTGTACGGTTGGTATTGAGATTCTAAACAACATCCAAGCCTTAGTCCCAAAAGAGTTGGTATTTTAATTCTAAAGTATGGATAATTTTTAGCTGCATAAAGATGACCACATATGGTATGGGACAAATATTTTGGAATGGTCTAAAATAAAAATAAAAAAGATAATCAAAATAAGATAAAGGGAGTATCTAACATTATCACCAGTTACGAACTTCTCTATAAATTTCCACTGAACTATCCACCCTGTTTTCTGCTCTAAAATTTTCCAAGTTACAAACAGACAATTGAAACACATCACTCATAAAATATTAGTGTAATTATGTCAAGAATTTCTAGAGAATTCCAAAAAAGATTAGTTTTCACTAATACAATGCTGCTAAAACTCCCCTTCCTAGGCGCCACCTGGATCCCCAAAGAACACCTGATCCACTTAATGCCTAAAACTGACGATTTTATTGTTCTCTCTTATGACTAGTGGCACCTGAGGCCAAGGTTAGTCAACGATATAATGTCAATGACTTTCTTTTCTTGAGCAGTAAATAATGTTTCTCAACCACTTAAGAATGTTTAGCAGTAGCTTTGTTTATACCTTCTTTTCTTGAGCAGTAAATAATGTTTCTCAACCACTTAAGAATGTTTAGCAGTAGCTTTGTTTATACCTTGCTCTTATCTCCCAACTGAGCAAGCTCAGCTTCAATTAATCTGTCAATAGATTGCTCCTTTGGCTTATTAGAAGTAGCAGTTGTTAATGATTCTGTTTTTGCAGACTCGACACACTGTTTCTTTGCAGGTGGCCCCTCAATTTCATCTCTTTCATCCTCAATACATTCTGTTTGCTCCTTTTTTTCAAATCCATTATTTTTTTCGTTTTTATCTTCACTCCCCTGTGTGTAACATTCATCCTTTTCATCATCTTCATTTCCTTCATCTTCCTCACTGCTACTAGAAGAATCAGAATACTTAAACACAATTTTCTTGTTCAATAATTGTTTTGATGAATCAGTTTCTTCCACAATTGATTGTGTCCCATGCAGCAGCTCTTCGTAAAACTAGAATTTGCAGGATAAATGAAAAGAAATTCAGAAATAAAAATAAACCACATAAACTAAAAAGATATTTAACCATTTCATTCTAATACCAAATATGAGTAATTGATAATTATATAAGGAATGACAATGGACCCTATGTCCCATTGTACATGTTGTACAATGTAATACAGTAATAGGAGTAAACACAATTTAAAATTCCAAAACAGGGGTACAATTTTTATTTCCTAAATAAGAGTAACTTACTGTCATACTGAAATTTTAATTTCATAGTTTCACAATAGTGGCAATACTAGGCTTTAATATGACAGTATTAATTTCATATTCATGTACCCACCTCCACATTTAATACCGCCTCTGCTTCCTATATAACCTAGCTTTTCCCCTTCATCTTCTTCACACCTCCAAACCCTCACTTCAGATCTATATCTGCGGTCTTGCTCTTTGTATAGACATACATAAGTGTTTCCATTACACTTAAAATGCTCTGATTTAGGGTAATTCTTTTAAGTATATTTCTAGGAGAGAATTAGCTTACCTTTAGTCAAGCACCCAAGCGTCATAATCCTAAACCCCACTATACTTTGGGACATAGAGAGTTCATAAGTGAGTTGAACATTGAAATTACACTAATTTATCATTTTTTATCTTTTTTTGGCAATTCTTTCTAACCTATTATAGTATATGTTCTATGTTATCGCCAACATCCTTGAACCGAGATGGGATTCGAATCTGTGACCTCCTCTTTGGGAGTGTCACAGTGATGCCATCACACCCTCTACTCCTTTGCCCATCAAAACCTAACTCCCAAATATACCCAAAAACACTTTCTTGGGAATATTCATGTTGCTATTGAATCATGTCCAAAGAACTACTAACAAAGCCAAATAAAAAATATATGCTTGTGTACACTTTAGAATTGATCAATCATAAGGCTTAAATCTAAGTAAGTATTTTTGACGATAACATCAGAAAAATCTCAATTCGAACTCGTGTTTTTGAGCATGTATGGGAAACAAAAGAAATTGGGACTTGATTGCATACAGAATCAATAACATTAACAGCTTCATGAGAGGTTTGTCGTTCCCTCCCTCCATCGCACGTGATAAAAAAACCTTGAACTCCTGGGCGTAACGGATAAGAACCCTTCTTCACTGCTTTCTAATTTATAAAAAACAAATTAAAAACAATTAGATATGTGTATTTACTTAGACGAGAACATATTTACATATACAAAGAGACAGAAACTACGTTGTGGGGGAGATAGCGCTGCTTGTTCTTCTTGTTCGCCTTCGGGTTGTTCTCCGTCTCCATGGATGAAAAGGAAAGAAGTGAGCAGCTTGCTTGAAGATCGGGGATTTGAGGTTGGGTTCCTACGCAGGTTTTGCCACGAATCTTGAAGTTATGATAAACGGCCAACAAAATCGGCCCACTAATTAATCAATCGTAAATAGCCCAAGAGATGGTAATGGGCTATTCGCGTGTTAGCGATAGTTATGCATGTAACTGTATCCGTCTTCTTGGATAATTTGTTGGGAATTTTTCACACGTAATCCAAAAAATAAAAGTAATATCATTTTTTTCAGTTTTTAAAATTTCTATCAAACGTAGACTAATTCTAATTTTCTTTTCACAAATAGCCAATATCTATGAAACCTCCTACTGACTACCGGAATCTACATTCCTAAGAGGTGTACATGCGTTCCAACTTTACGGTCTATACGGCTACACCATCTTTGATACTCACTACAAACTCTAAAATTGATTCAATTCTTGTTTTTAAATATAAAATAATGTAAAAAATCGTAAAATGTAGAAAAGATGAAAATAGCTGGAAAATTTTCTAGAGAAACAGAAAATACTCAATTTAAGAAAAAATAAAAAACAGAACGATAAAAAAATCAAAGTTGAAAACTCTTAAATTGAATTTAAAAATTTTTAAAATAAATTTTGATTTTGAAAAATAAATTGGGGGAATATAAAAAAAGTACAAAAAATTAGAAATACAAAAGTTGAAATAAAATTGATTTTTTACAAAAAGTTTAAAATCTGGGAAATTGTAAAAAGAGTTCATATACTGCATAATATATATATATATATATTGTAAAATTCTATATTTATGACTTTTCAGTAAAACGGGGAAAATATAAATGTTAAGAAAAGAAGCATTTCTGAAATATTGAAAAATGTTTAATTTTTAATCTAAAATCTTTCAAAATATTTAAAACTTTATAAACAAAAAATCAAATTTAGAAAATAAAAATAATTACAAATTTTTAAGAAGTAATATTTAAAAAACAAGTAGGAAAACATAAAATTCATGTAAATACAATTTTAAAAAAAATTGTTTTTTATCGTTAAAAAAATAAAAATAAAATAAAAAATAAATTGTTAAAAAACAAAATTAAAATAAAATAACTTCAAACAAACTTAAAAACACTAAAAAGTGTGAAAAGTGATTTAGAAAATTGTAAAAAATAAATTCTCGTAGATAAAAAAATTGGAAAAGTTAGAATGAATAAAAGGTAGAAATGTTTTAAATTGTAAAAATGTAAATAGTATAAATCTTTTAATTGATATTTTTTATTTACAAAAAATAATTATTATTACAAAGGCGTATTGTGGTTATTTTGTTGCAGATTGTTTCAATGTGTTGCTTTTGTTGATAAATTTCCAAATTTTGAGTTAATGATTATTTATATTTTTTATTGTGTTTTATTTTCCTAAGCGTAGCTTTATTACTATTATTATATGTGTGGGTGCATACATACGTACATTTATGCACATAGTGGAGCACACACATATATGTATAAAGAGTTATTGTAAACAAAAAAATAAAACTAAGAGTTGAAACATACATAAACATGAAAAACAAAATAAAAAATTAAAAGTAGTAAACAAAAAAACTACACAATACAACAAAAAGCAACACATGAGGCAAAACAAAAAGCTACACAATGATACAAAAAGCAACAAAAAAAAGTAACATATTATAGTATCCAATGAATAAATACGTTAAATACATGCAAGTAAAACGTATTATGGTTATTCTGTTGCAGGTTGTTTCAACGTGTTGCTTTTGTTGATAAATTCCAAATTATGTTTTAATGTTTATCTATGTTTTTATTGTTTTTTATTTTCCTAAGTGTAGCTTTATTATTATATGTGTGGGTGCATACATACATTTATGCACACAGTGGCACACACATATATGTATAAAGAGTTATTGTAAAAAAACTAAATGGTGAAACATACATAAACATGAAAAAAAAACAAAATTAAAAATTAAAAGTAGTAAACAAAAAGCTACACGATACAACAAAAAGAATAAAAAAGAATGGAGAATGGAGAATTGAACAGAATGGAGATCTTTGAACGCCATGATGTGTTTGAACAGAATGGAGAATTGATGCTCTGATTTTCCATTGAATTTCATCTGTTGGGCTTCCATTTGATCTGGTTACAAATTAAGGTGAGAAATCGAGTGGATGCAAAACATACATAGTATTAGACAAGACAAAATCACAAAATTATCAGTGAATAAAATAGAAGTAAAAGCAATCTATAGAAATATATAGATAAATGATCACCTCTATGAAATGCCACTAGCGGTTGGTTCATCGTCTCTTCAGTTTGATACATCAGTTCATTTTTCCTCTTGTCATTGTATGAATAAACTCTTATCCTCTCTCACTACTGCAGTTGAATGTACTTTTCCTCTAAAATTCAAAAAATCAAACAAATATTGTGAGTCTGGATGAGTCAATTTGAGATTAAAAAAACCTTCCTGGAATCATAAATGACATGTATTGAAAATGCTTCTCAAAGCTTTATAATTCGAAAAGTAGAACCTTATTTTGAATTCAACCAACTTGTCCACGAAAAAATCAATTACGATGGTCGATTAGGGTTGTGGGGAAAATGTTACACCAGTTGAGAGCGTCACAATTCATAATGAATTTGATCATCGTTGTTTTCTAACCTTTTCCAATCTGGAAGAAGCCGGCGATGATTCTGAGAGAGATGACTCACAACTTGGAAGAAGGGGATGAAGATAAATGACAGACCTGGTGGACGATGGTGATCAAAGCAGAAATCGGCCGATCGATGGAGATGGGATGCACAACCGCAGGGTGCTGATGGCGGGATGCGTGCTAGCAGAGCGAGCAACGACGGTGACTCCTTGTCTGCCATTGAAATAGCATCCGTCTGCCATAGAGTGAAGACTGGGTGCGGTAAACGATGGGCCAAAGCAGGGAGACAGGGAGTGGATGAGCCAGTGGTTTAAACTATATTTGAAATAATAAAAAGATTAAATGAAAAGGGAAAAGTTAGGAAGTGAAAGAAAAAATGTACTGGGACATAAATGAAATATGGTAGACAAAAGTGGTTCTAACGGGTAATTACCACTAATTTGTTCACCCTATTACCCCAGCGGAATTTTTTTGGGAGGTTTACCCAAATTAGTACTACCTTCGACCCGGTGAGTATTACTAAATTGACTTGGCTCGCAAATTTAGATAGTGAGAATAAAGTGGAAATGTATGGTTGTAGTTGTGTAAGAAAAAGATGAATGAATGTGAACCACATATTTTTTCCAAAAGTGGAAGTTGGAAGAATTAATTGGGATGATCCAAAAAGGAAAGTTGGAAAAAATGTCCGGGACGGAGGGAGTATCACTTTTGTCGACTTTTAAATTTTCTTTCAAAAACAGATTTGTTAAGTTTTCCTTTTCACTAATAGATAGTAAGTCTAAATCCAAAAAGGAAAGTTAACAGATTTGTTAAGTTTTTTTTTTCACTCATCCTATACCTAAAAGCACTACGTGCTAAGGAAAAAATTTTCCCGCCTATGCCTAATTTCACTTATCCGCACAAAGTCTCCGCAATTAGTTTGGCCCATTTCGGAATTTGACTTATCCGCACAAGTCTCCGCACCAAACGCCACTCCGCACCAAACGCCACTCTTCTCAGACATTCACCCTAACTACGCTTCTTCATCTCCGCACCAAACGTCCGCTCTCCGCTTCTCAGACATTCACCCTAACTACGATTCTTCATCTCCGCACCAAACGGCCGCAGTTCCTACAATTTCACCAAAACTACAATTCTTCATCTCCACATTTCTCAGAATTTTACACAAAGTAGAATTCTTCAATACCTCAAACTCAGAATAACATCTTCACTACTATATATACAGATGAGGATCGATGCGGTTCATACTCTCGCTCCACACAAGGTATTTTGTAATTCTTCTTTTTCTATATTTATCGTTCACTTATTTCTGATAACTCGTGCCTGCCGTCCTGCTACCTGTGTTTACAGAAATCCAACCGACGAAAGGATAGTCGGAGACAGGCGAGGAGACTGGACTATTGCAACTGCCCGTGTGTGAATTCAAGGTATATATTCCAATTTTGTTTTTTGACGACTTTTGAGCTTGGATTGTTTATTTTTAAAGTTTGAATAAGAACATTTGAAAAATTCCTTTTAAGCTTTTCATTAGATGAATATATGATGAAACATATTGTTTTGAGCTTGGGTTTTTAATTTTTAATGTTTTGAGTCTGCTTTAGCATCTATTAGATTGACTATTGCAACTGCCCGTGTGTGAATTCTATGATGAATATAATACACAAATTAAAGGAACTCATGTGATGTAATGAAAACAGATTGTTTTGAGCTTGGGTTTTTAATTTTTAATGTTTTGAGTCTGCTTTAGCATCTATTAGATTCAGCTGAAGTTTATCATTTTTAAATATGCATTTCACTTCCCAGAATAAGAACTTTTGAGCTTGGGTTGTTTAGTTTTAAAGTTTGAATAAGAACATTTGAAAAATTATGATCTGTTTGAGTATTCTAAATTCCTTAATACTCGGTTTGAAACAGATTGTTTTCAAACATCATTTAGTATGATAAATTAAAGGAACTCATGTGATGTAATGAAAACAGATTGTTTTGAGCTTGGGTTTTTAATTTTTAATGTTTTGAGTCTGCTTTAGCATCTATTAGATTCAGCTGAAGTTTATCATTTTTAAATATGCATTTCACTTCCCAGAATAAGAACTTTTGAGCTTGGGTTGTTTATTTTTAAAGTTTGAATAAGAACATTTGAAAAATTCCTTTTAAGCTTTTCATTAGATAGAACTACTACGTCAAAAAATGCAGTTCACTCACCATCCCATGCTAGAGAGTAGTATTTGACATTGTTTTGGATTTCTATGATGAATATAATACACAAATTAAAGGAACTCATGTGATGTAATGAAAACAGATTGTTTTGAACTTGGGTTTTTAATTTTTAATGTTTTGAGTCTGCTTTAGCATCTATTAGATTCAGCTGAAGTTTATCATTTTTAACTATGCTTTTCACTTCCCAGAATAAGAACTTTTGAGCTTGGGTTGTTTATTTTTAAAGTTTGAATAAGAACA